CCCCAGAACTTACTACGTGGTTATACGAGATTGACTGGAACCGTTTTAGGTATCTGGAAGTATGCATCGTTGGATAACAGAAAGTTTCAACTGTTACAAGACAATACCTAGCTGGTTCTTAAAAATCGGTGTAAACCCGAAGACAGAGCAAGTGTATATTTAGTCTAGTTAAATTAGAAAACAACGTATGTGAAGTTATATGCACAGCCTGTACTAAACCCAAACTTACTCACAAGTATAACAAGGTCGATCTCCTTCCATAGCGAGTAGAGTAAAACGTTGGCCGTACCCTCCTCCCTTACTCCCCTACAACAGTACTGACCTTTAGGAGCAGACTTGCAGCTGTTGATCCAGACTAGGGTCCCTCATACTATAAAACTATAAGTACATGGCCTACAGCCTTTGGTCTGGTGTTGTAGTCGTACGTGTGTGATGGTGAACGTGTGAGCCTCGTAGATGGACAAACATATATATCCTCCTTCCAAAATATGTTACCCTCACACACACGTGGCCGCGCCCGATACGCGTGTGTGCCTGTTTGTTGATAAGCATGTGTATAGGTGACGTGTGTGTATGTGTATGTAACATTCCAGTGTTGGACGGGTGCTTTCCGTTACTGAATGGTAGATAGCAGGCATGGCCGTCAAACATGGTACGCAAAACTTAGTTATATTTTATTGATGATAATGTGTGTGTACGTATGTATATGTAATGGATGAGCCAATAAAATATTAAATAAAAAAGCACTGTACACTTGTGCGAACGCAGAGACCTGGCACGACCTTGATATAGTGTTGCAACCCAGTATGACTGTGATCCTATCTATTTAAAAAACATGAACATTACATCCGCTATGGACAGAATAAAGTTCAGCGGTTACAGTATTTATAAGTAGATGTCTGATTACACACGGTCGATGTGGTGGTCCACAAACCGAGACCACCAGTCCACACGTCTAAGCTCCTTAACACCACTTCACAAACGTTCCTATGACCCAGAATGAAAAAAATACCCCATGGTCCCGACCCCCAGATCACTTATTATTGTTTTCAAGTCCCTGTGTTCAAAACCCTATATTATTAAGTCATGAACGCTAATTATCAAAATTATATTTTTGGAGAAATATCTTAAGATTTTACAAATTGTGTTTGTTATAATAATTAAGATGGTCGTATCATACTTATATATCCTATTTTTGCTCTGAGTTTCCATGAGTTAAGTCGCCGGTAAGGTAATCGATCAGGGTTTGAACATCTTTAATTGGCCCAGGTTGTGAGGACACTGTACAATTATAAACCACCTAATGGTGCATGTAGTTTTTTCCGCACTCAAATCTGTATGTCCGTTTATTGCCGTGTAAAAACTATCATTGTTATCCCACCCACAGGGACCTGAGAATTTGTTACAGCTATATTTGGACCTCAACTAAGGTGTTCATAGTAATTTTACATGTTTTGGGGTTTAGATCGACTTTCGGTAAAAATGACACTCCCAATGGTCATATCATCTAAACCCCTAAAACATGTAAAATTACTCTGAACACCTTAGTTTAGGTCCAAATATAGCTGTAACAAATTCTCAGGTCCCTGTGACCCCACTCACTAGTGAAGCCCTGCGTCCTGGTTACCCTAGTGGTGTAGATGTCTTTTCATATGAAGGTTTCATTGTGGAACTGATCGAAAAGACTAAATGGCCACCAGGCAGCCATCTTTAATTTTGAGAACTGAACATTTTTATCATCACTTCTCAAGAAGTACGAGACAGATCTTTCTCAAATTTCATATGACGGTTTTCTTTGGTCCATAGTTTTGCATGTATTGTTTTGAGACTGTTCAGAAGGACAACATCATGTATTTTCATAGTTAAAGTTTGTTATCGCTATTTCTCAAAAAGTGCTGAACGGATTTCTTCTCAAATTTCAAATGAGTGTTCCCCTTATTCAATGGCTGTACGTGAAGGAAGGTGACAACAGCAGGTTTGATATTACAAATATCTGGTGGAGGACATATTGTAGATATTCACTAAGATAAGTTACATAGCATTCGGCTGTTGGTGTATGCTGTAATACCATAATATGTAGATGTTGGTCCATATCATTATAAACCTCAAAATGCAATCTGCAATGCTAATCTAAACACCTGTATATTAGGTATAGTTCTATTTTTGCTCCTATAAATTCTTATGAAAATATAGTGTTACCGGAGTGACAACAGTGGGGACAATATCACCCACTTGTCTTACCGAAGTGACAACAGTGGGGACAATCTCACCCACTAGTGTTACCGGAGTGACAACAGTGGGGACAATCTCACCCACTAGTGCTACCGGAGTAACAACAGTGGTGACAATCCCACCGACTAGTGCTACCGGAGTGACAACAGTGGGGACAATCTCACCAACTAGTGCTACCGGAGTGACAACAGTGGGGACAATCCCACCGACTAGTGCTACCGGAGTGACAACAGTGGGGACAATCCCACCCACTAGTTCTACCGGAGTGACAACAGTGGGGACAATCTCACCCACTAGTGCTACCGGAGTGACAACAGTGGGGACAATCTCACCCACTAGTGCTACCGGAGTAACAACAGTGGGACAATCCCACCGACTAGTGTTACCGGAGTAACAACAGTAGGACAATCCCACCGACTAGTGTTACCGGAGTGACAACAGAGGGGACAATGTCACCCACTAGTGCTACCGGAGTAACAACAGTAGGACAATCCCACCGACTAGTGCTACCGGAGTGACAACAGTGGGGACAATCTCACCCACTAGTGTTACCGGAGTAACAACAGTGGGGACAATCTCACCCACTAGTGTTACCGAAGTGACAACAGTAGGACAATCTCACCCACTAGTGTTACCGGAGAAACAACAGTGGTGACAATCCCACCCACTAGTGTTACCGAAGTGACAACAGTAGGACAATCCCACCGACTAGTGCTACCGGAGTAACAACAGTAGGACAATCCCACCGACTAGTGTTAACGGAGTAACAACAGTGGGGACAATCCCACCCACTAGTGTTACCGAAGTGACAACAGCAGGACAATCCCACCGACTAGTGCTACCGGAGTAACAACAGTAGGACGATCCCACCGACTAGTGTTAACGGAGTAACAACAGGGGGGACAATCCCACCCACTAGTGTTACCGAAGTGACAACAGTAGGACAATCCCACCGACTAGTGCTACCGGAGTAACAACAGTAGGACAATCCCACCGACTAGTGTTACCGGAGTAACAACAGTGGGACAATCCCACCGACTAGTGTTACCGAAGTGACATCAGTGGTGACAATCTCACCCACTAGTGCTACCGGAGTAACAACAGTGGTGACAATCCCACCCACTAGTGTTACCGAAGTAACAACAGTAGGACAATCCCATCGACTAGTGTTACCGGAGTAACAACAGTGGGGACAATATCACCGACTAGTGCTACCGGAATAACAACAGTAGGACAATCCCACCGACTAGTGTTACCGGAGTAACAACAGTGATGACAATCCCATCGACTAGTGTTACCGGAGTAACAACAGTGGGGACAATCTCACCGACTAGTGTTACCGAAGTAACAACAGTGGTGACAATCCCACCCACTAGTGTTACCGGAGTAACAACAGTGATGACAATTCCACTGACTAGTGTTACCAGAGTAACAACAGTAGGACAATCCCACCGACTAGTGCTACCGGATAAACAACAGTGGGACATTCCACTGACTAGTGTTTCCGGGGTATTTTTTATAATGGGATGGGTGACATCGATGTCGGTTGTTACCTGGCCCCTCCCTGCCTACGAGTACCTGTCGTTCCAGTGAGATTGTTTTTACGCCTAAGAACTATTCGTAACCGAAGATCCAAGGTCTTAAACGAATATAATAGGTCAATGGATATTGTTTTGACAATGAGAAATATATGTTAATTAATCTAATAAAAATGTATGAATGTGTGTGTTGTTATACTACATGATTATGATCATACAGTGTTATGTATGTCAGCGAAAACGTAGTATTACATTGCATATATGTATGTTAATGAGATGGTAAGTATATAGTAAAGGGCCTGTAGTACCGAGGGATTTGTAAAACTGTGTGATACAAAATAACTCATCATACTGAGGATTGGGTATAAGGATAATATCTCACCCTGGACAAACCTATGCATGTTTTATTCCGGTTTAATATTTCCCTGTTTCCATCCTAGTTTCCGACACATTACATTTTTCTTTACGCCACTATGAAACTGATTAATTAAATAACGTTAATGTTCACGATCAGGTTAACGTCATGGTGTAGCTTTGCGTAGAACGCGCATGATCATGAGTTTCAGTAAGGAATGGAAATTATCATTCCCAGTTCTCTGGTTAAAGATAGCAAATCTCGTATCCCATGGAGATGAACTCAGCAAATTTAAGCTTCGGGTAAGATTCTCGAAGCTGGGGTTTTGACTTATCCATAAGAAACTTATCTCGACGGCTGACATTGGATATTTTGTGTCAAAAGGGTAAAAGATTCTATCTTGACAAATAAAGGTAGTGTCATTGTACGTCACAGGGTCCGTCCTACTACTGAAGATCCGGGTAATAAGGTCCCCGGTACTTGCTACCTGTTATCAAATTATTTCGATCCAGACTGGTCTTATTGATTGTTAAACTTCGATATTCTACGGGATATGTGGATATGATGGGGGTTAAACCGTCCCGACTGTTCATAGATTTAACATAAGCAGGTTTCCCAAGACGCTTATCAGCAGTAGACACTGTGAACAGGTAGGAGTTATACGGTCACATGAGTCACAAGCTGTCCTTGTTTATACATAGAATTTTACATCAACTATTCCTACCTAACACCACAGACTGCAGCAGTTTACACACACACACACACACACACTGGACCGCCATGTTTGCCTGTGCATATTGTATTCATTGTCCATTCTCACCTGCCAGTTTGGGTCGATAACAATACCTTATGTTAACGTCATGAATTACACTCACCTGTATCCTACCTGTGTTTTTCTTCCACGTGCTACGGTATATTTCATACGCAAACTATTCTCCTCCAAGAACATCACGTTTAAAGTTCACATTTAAACACTTCCGACGTCCTACACATGGTGATCATACTCGTGTGTACCTGGCCATGTGCGGTGTACAGGTACAATACACATGTAGGCGTAATCAACCCTTCGTCGCTCTCTGTTATTCATGCAGACAGTCATATCTTTTTGTTCATCAGTCCATTGTTTGTTTCTCAGCTGATTGTCGTATTGTATTACTACAATGTCCACTGTATCATGTAAGGCCATTATCACAGTGCAACTTAATTGTCAATAAATTAACTGACTCAGTGTAGATTACATTTCTTCAAAGAATTAACAAACAAGTTTTGCTATTGTTAATAAAAAAAACCCACCGGGACGCCAGATTACGAACGTCCGGGCATTGAAGTCTGTACATGTATTTAAAACATTGTGTGCCCTTGGTTACTTCGAAAATGAATACATTGTATTAATTAGAATAATAAACATTACCGGGTATGGGATCCAATGAACACGCTTCACTAAACTAAATCTGTCTCATCCTATATATAGTACACAAGGACGTGATGTACATACACAACTGTAACACACGTACGCAGATTGTTATGTTACGACTCGGGGATATCTGTAAGTGTTGTATGATATGTTATGAGGTGTGGATAAAAAGTGGATGCGAGTGTTGTGTATAACAAGACGCCCATGGGCCTTAACGGTCATCTGAGTTATGTAAAAACTGATGCTATCGATGTTGCCGAATGAAAAAGAAATAATTTGGTAACAAAGGTAACTTGAACTACATGTAATGCAAAAGAAGTACAAATAGTGGTTCTGTCAGTCAGTTGGATTTCGTTAAAGCACCTTAAGACCCTTCCATCTATGAAGAGTGTTTGAGTCTACCATATCTGGATCTTGAGAAGATTTTTGAAATTTTAATCAATTTGACCCTTTTTGGCCCCGCCCCTGGGGCTAGGGACCACATAATTCACAATAAAACTATAGTAAAGTTTACCCCCTCCCCAGGGGGAAACGTGAGACCCCAGGGTCATGAAATTCACAATTTTGGTAAAGCACATTAAGACCCTTCCATCTATAAAGATTATTTGATTCTACCATATCTGGATCTTGAGAAGATTTGACCCTTTTTGGCCCACCCCTCAGGCCCCTGGGGGCTTGGGACTATATAATTCACAATTTTGGTTGACCTTTGGCCATGAAGGGATTCTGCAAAATTTCATTGAAATTGGTGCAGGGGTTTTGGAGAAGAGGTCGAAAATGTAAATTGTTTACCGACGCACGACGCACGACGGACGACGGACGATGCACGACGCAGGACAAAAGGCGATCGCAATAGGTCACTTGAGACATTGTCTCAGGTGACCTAAAACTACGTTCCATCTGACGACCCAACCTGGCTCAGTGTATTACTCAGGCGTCAGGTAAAACATGTAGTTATGTAACAATGCAAACAACTTTACCTATGATACTATTCTACAATTAAGTAACATCTACACACTGATGTTTGTTACTAAATATACAAACTTAGGTATGTTACTATATCTACACACCTTGGTATGTTACTGTATCTATACACTAAGGTATATTACTATGTCTACACACTAAGGTATGCTACTATATATACACACTAAGGTATGTTACTATGTATACACATTAAGGTATGTTACTATATCTACACACTAAGGTATATTACTATATCTAAACACTAAGGTATGTTACTATATATACACACTAAGGTATGTTACTATGTATACACATTAAGGTATGTTACTATATCTACACACTAAGGTATGTTACTATATCTACACACTAAGGTATGTTACCATATCTACATACTAAGGTATGTTACTATATCTACACACTAAGGTATGTTACTATATCCACACACTAAGGTATGTTACTATATCTACACACTAAGGTATGTTACTCTATATACACACTTAGGTATGTTACTTTATCAACACACTAAGGTATGCTACTATATATCTACAAACAACGGTATGTTACTGTATATCTACACACTAAGTTATGTTACGCTATTCACACACTTAGGTATGTTACTATATCTACACACTTAGGTATGTTAC